TTTTGTTGTTATTATATTTATTGAAATTTTGTTTAGGATGGATCATGGTTATACAAGACCACCAGTTCCTTTTCATGCTAACAGTATTATGAGTATCAGCGTTGACGAGGGTTAGTCAGAATATGACGAGGAGGACGAGGAAGAGTTAGATATACACATGTATACAGAGATAACAGTGGCTACGATCTGTCTGTAGACGAAGTTAACGAGGAAGATACTTTACATCCAGATATTACAAAGAATCTGCGTGATTGGAATGAGGTATTTCTTTATGTATACATATGATATGTAGCATTGTAAGTTAATTAAACATGTGAAATGTTTGATAACATTATATTGTTAGATTACCATTAACGTCTTTTTCAAGTAAAATATCCAAATATGAAACAGATGTATCAGACTCTGTGGTATCTTTTATCTCAAGCTCACAAGGATATATCGTATCTACATAAGAATGGAAATAACCATTGTTAATTGACAATACGTCGTCGATATATCTAAATGTCGAGTTGAAGGCCACAGCAAGTGTTTTCTTCTTTTCATGTATAAGATTTTGGACAAATTCTGCTTCATATGAATACAAAAATAGGTCTGCTAATAACGGGGCGCAATTGGTACCCATGGGAATTCCAGTAGATTCTTGGAAGACCTGGTCTCCAAAAACTACATAGATATTGTCAATCAGAAACCCAAGCATCTTTTTAATGTCAACTTCAGAGTACTTGTGTGTACAATCAGAATGTTTTTTAACAAAATAATTTTGCAAATGACCAATGACAAGTAAAGTAAATTTACGAGTTCCATTTTTATTGAAAAAGCAGCTGTCAATGATATCAAAAATCCTGGACTTTAATTTATCGTGGGGAATGGTTGTGTATAAAGTTGAAAAGTCGTAAGTTTTTAAGCTGTTGATTTTGGTAAAATCTTGTGATTTCAAATTTTCCAAAAGTTCCTTGGAATTTTTAAGTATCAATATCTGATTTACAACACTTCTCGAATATATTGTTGCACAGTTCTCTTGAAGTTTCTCCTTCACTACTGTTAATATCTTAGTGAGGAGTAAAGAAAGAGGCTTGGTTGAACATTTACTGGAACCCGCTATGTATCTTTGTTTGTAAGGATTTTTATGAAGTTTCAGAATCCACTATAAATATGGTAATTTAAATTCATTTTGGTTGTTTGGAATATTAAAGATATTCAAAACTGACATATGATTTTGAAGAATTTCTTCCTTAAAAAGGGAACTATGAGTATAAGTTGGATTACCACTTGTAGAATTAAATCCAAGTTCCTCTAAAATACATTTAATATAATGAGCCTTACAAACAAAGACAATGTTGTTACCTGCTTTGTCAGCAGGGACCAGTAGGTACTGATCATATAATCTATCTAATTCTTTTTTCACTTCTGGATTATTGAATACAGAAGGATAGATGGTTCTCATATTGCTCCTCAATCTTTTTATGCGCGATTTTAACATACATCTGATACATTTAATCCATTCTGACAAAGTGTCAAGGTCTTCTTTTTCATGTCTGGCCCATCGCCTGGCGTAGTCCTCTACAGAATCCATAATATTTATGAAATTCCAACGCCAGTTGAAGGATCGGGGTTCCCTATATTTAGGACCTTTCAAAATTAGTGATCTAAGGTCCTCATTATTAACTATATTTACGTCACCAGTAATAAAGTGTCCAGCAGGACTATAGTTATAGGGTGAAGAAGAACATGAATACGATGGCGGATTATGTTTCAGATATTCGATATCCAGGCCCTGTAAAGTTTTCTTGTAATTAAAAAGTTTGGAAGCAATAGTCGATGTATATTCGTAGGAAATACAAGGTGTAGTCTTTAACTTGAAATATGGTGGAATACAAGACTGGACCCTTTTGTGATAAAGAATATTACTTATATTAACCGCGTCAATTCCTTTTTTGGCATAACGAAGTTGAAGGAAAAAACGGATGGAACAGTCAAGAAGAGAGACAGAGAAGCAGGAAAGGCCATCGAATCTGTTGCCCAAAAAAGTTGTTGCAATGATGCTCTTGATGAAGAAATAAAAATGAATGATGCGTAATTTAAAAAATTTAGTTTTATGAAAAATATATACCAAGCTTCACAATCTCAATCCATATTTTCTTTCAAATTCTTCAGTGAATGTGTAATTCTTTTTATCATATATTTTTAGAAAAGTTGAAATAAGAGTTGCAGCTGATGCTGGATGGCAAACTAGATCTTGTGGGAGAAAATATAACAGCTATTCAGATATGCCATGATATGAATACAAAAATATCTTTTTTTTAAGATGCATTGTTTTAGATATGTTTTATAAGTTCATCATCAGAAATATTGGAAATAGGAGCTGCAAAAGCAACTTATGTGACTGGTCTACATGTGAAAAACAATGAACTGTACTACAGAGATCAAGAACTTACAACAACAGACTTGAAATCAGCACTCCAAAAGTTTTCAGAGTGGTTATCAGACACAAATTGTAAACCACAATGGATTACGGTTTGACTTTCCACTATTTATGCAAAGCATTACATCACAAAATATCGTGATGAATACATGTATTGCCGGTTTTATAGACACTTTGGGGGGTTTTAAAACTTCTAATGTAAAGACACTTTTCTCAGGAGTCTCTTTTGAGAGAAGCAGGAATCCAATCTACAGGAGTTTCTCATTGTGCCCTAACGGATGCTATGGACCTAAAAAAAAAATTAGTGAATTTTCATAACATTCCTTTCATCACTCTGTTGAGGCAAAGTGCAATTTACAATTATGTTTTACAGCATCAAACGTTTTCTTTAGTAAAGAATGACAATTTGAAATCTCTTGAAGTCTTAGTTCAGGGAAAAGTTATTACAGAATTCATGGCTAATAAAATTGCAAAATCAGGTTTAAATATGAAAATATTAAATAAGCACACACAAGAAATGGTGAAGATGGAGTAAAAACTTGTTTCAAGAAATTGTAAATGGAAAAGCAACTCAGTGTCCAATTATTTATCCAGTCAGTTGTAAAGAGTTACTTCCCTTTGTTTTTCATAATTGTAAATATATTATTTCATTTTCTTTATCTCTCTTATATACTTGGCTCCACCATGTAAGATATGAATTTTTGTACACCATATGGCCAAACCTTTGTTTTTATTTTTAGAAAATTTCAGAAATTTCATATTTAAAAAAGATATGTGTGATTATCATTACATTTTTCATAATCTGTTGTTTAAAATGTCAAATATTTCTGAATTTGTTGTTGTCATTCTATGTGTTTATTATTTTTTTATATGTTGATTGATGTAACCCTGGACTAAGATTTTGAGAGATTTCAAAGTAATTTAAATATCTAATAAATAAACTTTTTTCACTTTCATACATATTTCCTTATTTTTGTCATATTTTTCTTAAAAAAAGGTGGCATCCTTGTATGAAAATATTTTTTTTAAAAATTGTTAGTGCACTAAGTTATAGTACATATTTCTTTAAAGTCTTATATTTTCCTAATTGTTTGGTGTTTAGAGCTTCCTTAAACAATGAATTATTACACTTGAGAATTTTATGTTTACTTCATTCTTTTCTTTATATACTATTTTTGACCCTTGACTGTTTTTTTTTGTTTTGTTTATATGTACATATGTATCTCTTGTACCAGTGGTCTGGTTTTGACAGAATAAAGAACTGAAAAATATGTTAAAGGGGCTTGGCAACGGACTTATTAGAAGCATTTTATAGATCTACTGTGTCAGACTTCTCTACACGCGACAATACTTTGATCGTGCGGAATGTTACATGTATATACATATATAAGAACATTGCGGTAGGGAAAACCATTTGGCAGGAAAACGTATAAAATGTATTTTTCATTCTAAGCTAAAGTTATGGTGAATCAAATAATGACAATTGATAATTCAATTCGACAACTCGAGATATTACAAAGCGTGAGCATGCGCAGGACACTATAAACAGAAACACTTTTCGACGGAATGGTGTAAAGTTATTCAAGGTTTCTAGATAATAACACTAGTATTTATGATATTTTTTTTTTACCAATATATTTGTTTAATTCATGATATCTGTATTTTTCTCGAAATTGTTTTCAGCAAGACACACACTTTTTTAAAATACTTCAATGTTTTGTACTTAAATCACATTCAACCACAAAGTTGAAATATACAGACATAAACTTCGATGATCATTACTTTTAAAATCTTTAACTCCTTAAATAATAATATAAATAATAATCGTGTTTACCAGAAATATGTATCGTCAAAACGTGTGAATTTTGCAAAAGATTGTAGAAACAGGAAGGGGTCACTTGAAAAGTCTATATGGCATATATGTCTAGATGTCTTCCTTAGAATGCATCACGCACGGTGCCAAAGATTTGAGTGTTAAGTGCACACACTCTAACGGTCATACGGTAAAAGGGTGCACTAAAATAAGGTTATGATAGTTTATTTTACATCAGCGCTTCCATCAAATGAGAGATAATAAATTTTGAACTGCCTTCAAAGGAAAGATCATTGAACATTTCCAAATCATTTTAAGTCAGACTGGATTAACACACTTGAAACAAACACATCCAGCTTAAAATACCCATTATAATTTTTCTAGCCATTAAAAATACACATGTTCAAGCTCTTTTTGCAAACTTTTGATCGACCTAGTTTGGAGATCAAGATATTTATGTGAATTGAGATAAAATGCAATATGTAATGACCTTGGTTCTGTAAAGGTGCTCAATGCAGCTACATGTATCAATATATTTCAGGTGATAATTAAAACTTTTACGTTGTCCTTAGTTTACATCAATCACACAACCCAGCACTGTTCCTTCCATCGTTATCTCCTAGATACATGTAATTATTAATCATTTTTATTTCTCTCTTCTTTATACTTTACTGCGATCTCCTGCTGCAGGTCAATCCGGCGAGGTATAATTTCAAAATTGTCTATTGAAAGAGAACTTACTCAGTGACAAAACAAGCCCACAAAAAATCTGAAAAATCATTTATTATTTACATTCAAATATTGAAAAATATGCAATTTGAACAGTTCTTTTGTAATTAATATTGTTGCTAAAAGTAATTCTGAATTGCTATCTTACAAGGTTTTTGTTCAGTAAATGTTCATGTAAACGTTCTGGCGTCCCATTTTCGTTTTCTTTAAACCCGACAAAATGTTTGCCTTCATAGCTTTCATAAAGAAACAATGACATCAAATGATAGTGCTTCTTTCATCTTTACTTGTCATGGTGGAATAAGAGTTGCTCCTTCCATCTGTACTTTCCAGATTGACAATTCCGCGCACTCTTTTGCTTCTGCAGTTGAACATATCCCAGAGGGCAGTGCGAAACTGTGTGCTCATCATGAAGAATATCCAGAAGTTGCAGGCGTAGCTAAGTAAAGACAATGTCGTAGATATTGTGTCCCAGAGTATGTCAGCCTCCTCGGACAAAATCTCTCTTTTCCGGTCTGTAGCCAGTTCATGTGCATAGATCAAGAAGGCAATTCCATCTTGTATTTCGGCGACAAGAAACACAATAAGAATTATTATAACGAGTTTGTTTACTCTCTTAAGCTGTTCTTTTTTGAAGGAGTCGGAGTTTCTGAAAGCCGTGATACGTCGGTGAAGCAGAAGAGCCAGAGCAATTGTCGTTATGAGCAAAACAATCACCGGCAAGAGACGTGTAAGAAACCCAGAGAAAATGTAATAAAGCATCATAGACTTCTTTATGTCCACTACAGTATTTCTCAAGGACTTGGAAATCTCTCTGATACAGCCTGACGGTAAACTTTCATTACGATATGCCGTGGTAAATATCGGAAGTTCTTCGATATCAATACCTAGTGCTTCATAAAGGTAGACAAGCACTGCAATGATAACAATAGAAGCTATTTTGATCATAGACATTCTGGTATTGCATATTTTTGAGTAATAAAAAGGCATGCAAACCGCAAGAAGACGTTGCAAGCCAAGCAATGCCGTAAGCCAGTTGGAAGTCATGCGGAAGATGTTGTAAATCACATACAAAACATGGTTTGCAACACACCAACTGTATGGCATATAAAGATCTTTGTGATTTCCAGCCATGTTGAAATAAATCGCTTCTGGTAATCGCGTTATACAAATGATAGAGTCTGACACTGCTAATGACGTCAGAACAATGGTCGTTGGAGATCTTTTGCTTCTAAAGATAAAAACAGATATCAGCAATACATTGCTAATTAGTGTAGTAGTAGCGATGAAGAAAGTTAAATATCCTCGGATTGGTATCTCCCAGTCTGCTTTCACTTTGTATTTATGTGGATAGTATTCGGAATAGTATTCAAGGGATCCATAACCTGTATAGTTCTCCATATAATCATAATCATACACGTAGTACTCCTCGCCTTCTGGGTATTCGTGCTCCATTTCTTTTTTTTTCTGCGCTTATGTTGACTTTACAACGACAGCGTTCCTCCGTATATTGCCAATTTCATCTGATCGCTACCTCGTCCCCAGAATAAGTGCACTGAAGAGGAATAGGGAGTCATATGATATAATTTCTGTAAAGTGTACATGTCTATAGGTGGAATTCGTTATTGCTCTTACTCTCTCCTTAGTTCTAACTAGTCAAGAGTCCCTCTAAATAAATAAGTATCAATTATCTTGCTAGTACATTCCTAATCTCATGATCTGGTCCTTGTTTGTCGGGGTTGGGTGTCCGTATTTTAATGATAAGCCGTGTTACGGATTAGAAGATTTTGTTTCCTAAGTACATTTACGATTTCAGCTTCATCTCTTGTAAATACATGTGTTTCAATAAGAGAAGTGGAAAATTTTCACTCTTTATTTTAGCCATAATTACGTCTCCAGTCAACTTAGCAGTCACACAGCTAAGGGTCATCTGATAAGAACCTGTGTTTGTGACATGGTGCTTGTAGTCTCTTACTACCCCTGCTATGGTCCTTGGTGAATTTTTGAGTAATAATGACTTTGTGGACACAGGAAATATAGGTGTTTGAAGGTGGATTTTTTAAACATTTAAAAGTTGCATCCTTGTACTATTGGTGACCTGAGCATATATTATTATTTATTTTTAAGTTAGATTTTAATAATGAACATTATTTATCCTGTTATAGATTAATGAACATTATTAGTCCCCTATCGGTGAAACCGGAGGGGACTATAGGTTTCCTCTTAGTCTGTCCGTCCGTCTGTCCGTCTGTCTAGCTGTCCCTCTGTCTGTCTGTCAGTCTGTCCCTCTGTCTGTATGTCAGTCTGTCTCACTTGGTTTTCCGCACTTTTTTCCTAAACGCTTGCAGATATTGTGCTGATTTTTGGTATGTGAGTGTATCTTGATGAGTTACAGATCAAGTTTGCATTTCGTTCCGCTTCATTGATTTTTGACGGAATTACGGCCTTTTCAATTTTTACGGGTTTTCCGCAATTTTCTTCTAAACGCTTGTAGATATTGAACTGATTTTTGGTATGTGGCTTTACCTTGATTAGTTATAGATCAAGTTTGCATTTCGTCCCGCTTCATTAATTTTTGACGGAATTATGGCATTTTCAATTCTTAACGGGAACCAGATTACACTTGCCGGTAGGGGACTAGTATTGCTAATGCAATACTCTCAGAATGCTTGTTTATCCTGTTATAGATTAATGAACTTTTTTTTCCTGTTGTAGATAAAAGATAAGATAAAATATTGTCATATAGACTCAAAAGAAATATTGAATATTTTCAACAACAAAAAAGTATCCAAGCTCCATCTGGACATTGCTTGTTCCAACGATTGACAGTATATTATTACATATTAAAATGACGTAGTAAACGTTTGCAGTTTGCAGTGATTGTAACAAATTTATATTCTTCTCTTTCGATTCTCTCTCTCTCTCTCTCTCTCTCTCTCTCTCTCTCTCTCTCTCTCATAGAGGAGGAGTACATCTTGCTTGGCAACCGAGTGTCGTTGAGAAAGTTGAGCTTTGTTTTCTTTGATTTCTCGTATTTACATCTTATTTACATTATTTAGTGTGCGCAGATCGTGACACTGGTACAAACTGTTTGTCCAAGGGTCTTAAAGTTCATTTGCGTTGAAGTGCCATTCTTCATCATGAAGTGGTAGTGGATATCATTATTGTTTGATATTTGTACACAACACAATTAAAATTTAGAGAGAAGAGCATTCAAAATACTAATAACTTTTTCTATATTTTCTGTATTTCTATATATCCAAAGGGGATGATGAGTCATATCTATCATTTTGATTCTTTAGGAGGCTAAGCGATTAACAAATTGTCCAAGAAATCCAATTACGAGTAAAACAGTAAAATATTATTTTTCTAGCCATAAACTATTATTTAGTTAAGAAAAACCACATGTTGCAGCTATGATGTTTTATGCTATCCTCTATATTATGTGAAAAATAGTATGTTCTGAAAATGTACATTTTTTAACTTCTTCAAGGGTTTACTTGTGAAGAATGTTCTGAGTATACTTTTTTGATTTTAACACAGACTTTATAAAAAAAAGAATTAATCAAATATTGATACCCAAAATTAAGATTATTCTATACCCCTGATCAGTGATTATAACTGTAATCAGCCGTAATCGATTATAGTTTGTGGTGTAATCATCAGTAATCATCTGTTTTCTGATTACAAGTAATCGTAATTTATTCGATTTCTCTGAAAAAAAAAGTCTTGTAATCATGATTACTTCCTGACTACTTTATGATTACAGTGACTAAAAAGAAACGCATAAATTCATTGAATATTTATCAGTGTGCAAAAATTATTCCAAAAATTACAGGCATTATATAGCAATATTTTCTTCTGTTGCCTTCAGAAATGTTTATAATTCTAATAATTAAGTCCATTAACCAGACAGAGAGTGAATCTTCTCATATTAGATATATTCAATGGTCATTTCAAAATGCTTGAGCGCCTTAGCAATTTGCCTTGTGTAGCTAGATACTGAGGAAAATTACCACAGGATCATTTTCAAGTTTGAATTTTTTTTGGTTCAATTAACATGAATGCTTCATAGCATTTTGTTTTCCCCTGTAAATCTTTAGATATAGATTAAGTGAATCTGTTATCAAGAATATTTTGTGATGTGTATTCTAAAAATCACAACTTTGTTCAATGTAAAAAAAAAGGGGGGGGGGGGTTAATTATATGCAATAAAATGAAGGTGTATTTAAGTTGGGTCAGCTTGGGTTAAGACAATAATGAACAAACAATGCTTGCCCAGTGAAAGTGTTAATTGTAGTAAAAATATCTAACAATTAGCAGTTCAATGGAAAAGTTCATCACTTATATCAATTTGATAACAGTCCTCTATTGAATCCTTTTATCTCTTTCTATAATTTTGTCTAATTTGATTGATAAATTAGTTATATATTGTTTTAACACGGCTGTTTACTTGTATATGGAACAGAAATCAGATAAACTATCTCGAATAGCTATATATGAACATGCATGTAACCAATCCTTACCTTTAAAATATAAATGAAGATTAAATGCATTTAAAAAGTGTGTAAAACGAGTATTGATTTAAGAATATAATGTCTTGTTCAAAATGTTTCTTTCCCAGATATTAAAGATAAGAACATGTAAGAATTTTACAATTTTTAAATTAATGTAATCTAGATTAATCACAAGTTATCATGATTACATGATGGAAAAGCAATCAAATGTAACTGATTACCTTAAAACTGACTGTAATCTGCTTGTAATATATTACTTTTAATATCTTAAGTAATTGCAATTTAATCGATTACTTTTGAAAGTACATGTAATTGACCCCATCCCTGCTCCAAATCTAGATATATTATGAAATTTATTTGAATTTTGTTTTCCTTTAGGTGAAGCTTTGTCATATTATAAGTTTAGATAAAGTGCAAATGCAGCATTTTTCCTCTGCAATGATTCATTGTAGTACATATCTTATTATTTAATATAACATGTATATAATTCAGTATTTTGTGTTTGGGAAACTTTTTTTTTTATTTTTATCATCTAAGGACTGTGAGCGTGACTTTACGTCTTATTCAAAAACACATAGAAAGACATTGTAAGTAAAAATCAGAATTTGCTTCGTTGTATTCATTAAAATGGTATTTTATATGAATAAACATGTATTTCATATCAAATCATGTATATTTTTTTCACCATTTGAGATGATAGTAATCCCAGACTAGACAAAGAAGGATGAGTAAGAATGAGTAAGACCTACTAAGCTAAGAAGTAGTTTGTGTGAGCAATAAACTAAGTGACTTTTCCGAAAAACATATGCCGTAAAATACTTTTCAACGCAGATGGACAATTAAATCTTTTCAGATAGTAAATAACTGACATTACTCAGCATTCTTACGAAAGCCGGATAAGCTCACTTTTGACAGGGTAAAAAGTATTTAAATAAATTCGTTCTAACGAGTTAGTGTCATTTTATAATGAGTTAATAATCTCTTTATAACGAGTTATTTATCTCGTTATAACAAAATATTTTTCTCGTTATAACGAGTTAGTAGTTATCTATCTCGTTAAAACAAAATATTTTTCTCGTTATAACGAGTTAGTATCTGTTATAACGAGCTATAGGTTATGTTGTTATACAATGTAACGATTTAGTATTTCGTTATAACGAGCCAATTTTCTTTAAAGTTGTCAAATTGTACTATTGGACCCTATGGGAATTTGTTGGAAAAGCGCCAAATTATCATTTTTCCATTTTTTTCTTTCTTTTGTATTTCTGCCCTATCTATTTCTTTTACAGTCAAATACATGAAGTTTATTGCAAAAAGTCACTAAATATTGAAATTTCAAAAAATTCGACCATCTGGGTTTGTCTAGAAATCTTTACAAAGTGCTCTTTTTTTTGCAATGCCCTTTACCTCTAAATTTTGCCATACTGCGGTGTATATATATATATATATATATATATATATATATATATATATATATATATATATATATATATCGGCACAGATGAATTATTTTGGTAAAATTAACAATGTTAGATTGCTGGTATGTTTCTTTGGATGTTATGTCAACAGTTTTTAGTGTAATGTCCATGGAGGTTTTGAATACACAAGCGAGTCATGCGTCAATCTTTAGCGTTCATGCATTGCTTACAAAACCGGCCTTGTAGAGTATGCTTTCCACTTCAAATCCCCCCCCCCGTAAACTGGCTTTACCCCCCCCCCCGCGGAAAATAGGCTCTAGAGTAGGATTTCTTCCACGGGGAAATGACTCTAGAGTAGGATTTCCCCCTACGGAAATCCCACACCAGATTCAATTTTCCGGGGGGAATTCCTACTCTGTGTAATAGTTATAGAGTGCGATTTCCCCCAGAGCCAAATTTTCCCCTATAAAATATCATGGCTGTACCTATGTATGGGGGAAGGATAGGGAGGTGGGCACATTGTTAAAAGTGTCCCTTCTTCAAAATGGCGACTAGTTCCATTGAAACATACGACGAATGAAAATTTTAAATCTCTTTTTCCTCAGTAACTGTCCAACCAATTCTCCTGAAGCATTAAAATCTTATTTTTTTCATCAGGTCAAACTGGATTCTGAAAAAAAGATG